GTCACCGCGGCCATTTTGTTGGTTGGAAACATGTGGTTTTCAACCTGAAACTTGAGAGAGTAATACTGGAAGCTGGATTTCCCTTTTTTATATGTAAGTTACTATTAAAAATGTGGCCCTTTTTATGGATTCTGCCTAAGATTGTGATATATATCTAATTTATTTTGCACAAATTTTTGGTGTGTTTTTGTGTTGTGCACAGAGTGAAGTATATATATATATATTTTTTTAAAGGGTAATACACTATGAATTGTTTTTCTTTTTCTTTGAGGTGATCATGGAGTTTTAAAACCAATTTCTGCTTTACTGGATTGAAGTAAAAAATTTGGAACTTGGACACTTTGGGTTTACTGAATACAATTTTTATACATAATTTTTTATATATATATTTTTATTTTTAATTTTTGATTTTTTGGGGGTTTTTTGGTTTTTTTTTTGTTCTTTAAGACGGAATTGGGTGTTGGTTTATGTAAACACAATTTAGTTGAAGTCATACTGATTATATCAATAGTTGGAGTTTTTTCGGGGATTTATATGTGTATCACAAAAAGGATTTATTAGATTGTATACTTTCTAGGGAGAAAGTTGTGATTTTGTGTGGAGGGTGATAATATAGGAGCATATTGATTGATTGAATATATATAAAGTGACCGATGTGAGTAAATAATTAAAAAAGATATAAGAATTAAATAAATTGATAATGGTGTCTTATAGTCAAATCACTATTTGTGCCATCCTTATATGAATGTGCAACTATTCCATCTATAAACCACAAAAAAATATATATGCTATAACTAAAAAAAAAAAATAATAATAATAAATAATAAATAAAAATAAAAAAAAATTAAAAAACTGCTGAAAAGGAAACAGCAGTACTGTCCCAAATGTGTCCAGCAAAGATATGCTCTCCTTCAGTATGTAGATCAGGTCTTTGCAATAATGTTGGAAACCTGTGTGAGGGATACTCCCTCCTCTGATCCACTCCTCAATCCTCTGCCTTTATGCTCCTCGTGTGTCTCATGTAAAAGAGAAATAAAGAATATGGTGTCTTATCCAACGGGTAAAAACAGCTTTTAATGTGCTTCCATAATGCACTCACATGTCATGTAATACAATAGCGCTTTTAGATCTGTCAAAAATCCGCAGCTTGCAGCTGAAACATAGAGGTGGGTGTGTGTCCACACACCTTCAGTACTCGCTGTATAGTAGATAGGATGCGTGGAGATGTCACTGCCCCTCCCCAACGCGTTGCGCTACAGGGATTTTGTAGCTTCGTCCGGGGGACACATTTGGGACAGTACTGCTGTTTCCTGTTTTTTTTAATATTTTTTCATTTTTATTTTCATTTTTATTTTTTATTTTTATTTTTAGTTATAGCATATATTTTTTTTTGTGGTTTATAGATGGAATAGTTGCACATTCATATAAGGATGGCACAAATAGTGATTTGACAATAAGACACCATTGTATCAATTTATTTAATTCTTAGATCTTTTTTAATTATTTACTCACATCAGTCACTTTATATATATTATTGTTATATTATTTTATAAGCACTTTGCACTTTTTTGTCCGCACTTTTTGATGGTATTAGAGCGGGGTAATTTTTTAAATACTTTGTTTATAAACGCACATCATAGGAGAGTGGGCATATTAACCAGCGATCTAATACTCATATTACCTAAAGTATACCTCAGTGGCGCACAAGTTCATTTATTTGTTTATATATTTTTTTTTTTTTTTGCACATTTGTTGACACAGTGTGCACGGCACATTATTTTTGCACAAGTGTTTTATTTGTAAAAGGTAATGCACCATTTCTAGTTTATATATATTTTTTTGAGGTTCGTCAACATTGGAATACCATACGTTGAATACCTTGCACAGCTTTACACGATGTGATTTGGAGGTGGACAAGAAAGTTATTTGAACATTTTGATATTTCAGAGACATTTTTTGGACTTTTATTTATGTTCTGGTTTCATTTATTCGTTGGTCTATGTATTTAAGAATTGATTATTTAAGTGTAATTTTTAGGATTGGGTTAGAGTGCGGTTGAGAAAAGAGCTCATATATTGTATCACTTTCAAGGGTGAAAGTTTTCTTTTCTTTTGGGTTAGGTTTTTTATTTATATTTATTTGGGAGTGTTTACAGTCATTGGTATTTGAGTTGCTGTTGTTCCCAGTGGCTTCCACTTTGTTATATCCCACTATCCCACTAATAGTTGAGCGTGGAATATTTAGTAGCCAAGAAATGTCACGGATGGACTTATTGCACAGGTGGCCACCTATCACGGGACCACGCTTGGAGTCACTGAGCATCAAAAAATAGAGCGACCCATTCTTTCACCAAATGTTTGTAGAAGCCGCCTGCAATGCCTAGGAGCTTGATTTTATATACCTGTGGCCATAGAGGTGATTGGAGGTGAATCACATGATTTGGAGGGCTGGCCCCTGCAATAACTGTTTGGCAATATAAATGTATATACAGTAAAGTAACAGGCCTCAAGTGATTGACACAGAGATGAAACACATCCTCCAACATACGTTGTACACTGTTTTATCTGCAGTCTTTATCTCTTCTCAAAGTGATCTGTTCAAAGTGATGAATTTAGAAAGCTTGTCTGAGCAGTTTTATAAAAAAAACTGGGTGGAGAGCTGAAATTACACTCTGCAGCGTTCAATGAGGAGAGCTCTGAGAGCTGATTGGAGGTAAGAGACCCCCTTCCCCCCTCCACACAGCTCACAGAAATAAAGCTGAGGCTGTCAATCTGCTGGAGGTCCCTCCCCTGTCACCTTGTTTTTCTTGGTGTCGGGAAAACTTGTCAGAAGTGATTCATTCAGATAGCAGAGAAACAAAACAGCAGGAATAAATGACACTTAGTGCTCTGGACTAGGACAAGTACACACTGTAGAAGCATATGCTTTTATCATATTTCATATCTGAGGGTTACAACCCATTCAAAGAAAACCTCTGCTTTCCATACTTTTGCTTACTTTGTTGGCCGATAACACAGTTAGGCTCAATTTACAAAGCCTTACACAAAGAGTACGTTCTTTATTTTCAGCCATGTAACTGCAATTTTGAAATTTCATTGGAATAAGTTAAAAATAAAGGTCACTTTTTTAAAAAAAAATTATGGCTCCTACTCTGGTTTCCTAGCTTTGTAAAGTGAGTCTACTGTCCCTCACCCCCTAACTGCGAAGGGGAATTGATGTAAACAGCAACGCTCCTTTGTCCGTAGAGCCAGCATGGACGTTTCTTTTTCCTGTCTCTCTTGGCAACATTTGACATTTTTGGACTTCCTGTAGTTTATAATAATACAACCTGAGGCCTTTGCTGCTAATGCCCAAAAATAACCAATCCAATCTTCTTGGAGAGTCAATAGCACGTCAGACTTCAATACGGCTGCATTGTCAACTCACAAAAGCATACCGCATTTGGTATTTTCTAATTTTAGCAATCACTTTTTTAAAGATTTCGTGACTCTGCTACACCTAATGCATATTATATTATCTATCTTTGCCATATTCTGTATGTAAAGAATTTACAAAGACTATCAGAGGATCAGGAAGGAATTTTTTTCCCTGCAGGAGCCAATTGGATCATGCTTTGCTGGTTTTTTTTGCCTTCCTCTGGATCAACTGTGGGTGTAGGATTATAACTTTTTTTTTTTTTTTTTATGGTTGAACTGGATGGACTTGTCTTTTTTTTAGCCAGACAAACTATGTAATTATATTGTTTTTTTATAAAAAGCACTAAGCGCTGGTTGTTGTGATCAGTGGGTTTCTGTGAGCTATCTATTGAGGAAAGAGAAAGTAGAGCCCAGGGGCAGACTGACCATTTGGAAACTCGGGCAGTGCTCGAGGGCCCGGGGTCAGTAGGGGGCTCCATGAGATGCCTCTGGTACCTTTTTCATAGGCTTTTTTGAGTTTGGGCAAGGACACAGGGGCCCCATGATCCCCTATTGCCCGGGGGCCCCATAAGTTGTCAGTCCGCCCCTGGTCTGAACGCACCTAAACGCCCTTGCATAAACCGGCTTTAGATGTGTTTTGATGCTGCTTTTCTCCTGGTGTTTAGAAGAGCTTGGCAAACACTGTGCATGGGGCCCTGGTAGAGCCCCTCCAGGTAAAGAAAAAATAACACCGCCTGAGAAAAGATGCAGATTCATGAGAAACAGAGCCTGTCACTAAATATGAATTAATGGTGACGTATAATAATTCCATACCAAAACAATTTATTCATGAAATGTGATCTGATGCAAAAAATATAATGAGAGAAAATAAACATTTGCAAAAAGCTTCTGTGTTGGACCCAAAATCCAATAAAATTCCAGCCTCCGTGTTTATTGCTAGTCAGAAAACGAATTCAAGTCTTAGCTACAGGTGCCCGGTCCTAAGCTTTCCTACCATTTACTTTTTCTCTCCTGAAATAAAGGAGACGTTTTGCTTGTACATCTGAATTGAGCACCTAGTTAGTATCATCTCAGAGAACCAGAATGCAATCTACTGCAGCCTTTCTCAACTAGGGTTCCTTTAAAGGAGCAATTTTTGCCTTTCATATAAGTAACCAATGACACCAATGATCTTTTCAGCTATCTGTAAGAGGACCAGTCTTCTCACTGATCATGATTGTAAGAAGCAGTCTTCCTATTGATCGCCACTGTAGGAAACATTCTTCTTATAGATCACCAATGTAACATTTTTCCCATTGGCCACCAATGTTAAAAATATTCTTCCCACTGACCACCAATGTAAGGAACATTCTTCCAATTGACCACCAATGTAAGGAACATTCTTCCAATTGACCACCAATGTAAGGAACATTTTCCCCATTGACCACCAATGTAAGGAACATTCTTCCAATTGACCACCAATGTAAGGAACATTTTCCCCATTGACCACCAATGTAAGGAACATTCTTCAATTGACCACCAGTGTAAGGAACATTCTTCCAATTGACCACCAATGTAAGGAACATTCTTCCAATTGACCACCAATGTAAGGAACATTCTTCCCACTGACCCCCAATGTAAGGAACATTCTTCCAATTGACCACCAATATAAGCAACATTTTTTCCATTGACCACCAATGTAAGGAACATTCTTCCAATCAACTACCAATGTAAGAAACATTCTTCTAATTGACCACCAATGTAAAGCACATCTTCCCATTGACCACCAATGTAAGGAATGTTCTTACTACCAACCACCAATGTAAGAAACACATTCTTTCCACTGACCACCAAAATAAGGAAACATTTTTTTTCCATTGAGCACCAATATTTAAAAAACCTTCCAACTGATCACCAATGTAAGGGACATTCTTCCCATTGTCCCCCAATGTTAGGATCATTATTCCCAATTTTTCTTTAATAAAAGTCATGTAATCAATAAGCATAAAATCATATACAGAATATACAAAAAAAAAATTATATACATATTTACACAAAAAATAAATATAGCAAAATCTGCTGTCAAACAAAAGCAAAACTCTCAGAAATGAACACATCATTACTGGGGGAAATAAATCTTACTACGACTCATATCACTACACCAGACATCAAACTTGAGAGGTCAAGAAATAACCCCGCCCCCATTATGCATGCAGGCCTTCTTCAAAAAGAAGATCTCAACCAACAAAAACTAAGGGAGTGAAAAGAACAGCATAATAAAAGAGCCCCTCACCCAGAGATGGACAGCTCACCAAAGGCAGGTCTGATATTCCTCCACGCCCTTATCCAGACCGCCCAAGACTCCCTACCCTTCTCAAGACCCCGAATCTTCCCAACCTCACCCAGAATATTGTGCAAGAAACATTCTTTCCATTGACCACCAATGTAAGAAACATTCTTCCCATTGACAACCAATCTAAGGAACATTCCTAACATCGACCACCAATGTATGGAACATTTTTTCCATTGGCCTGCAATGTAAGGAAAATTCTGCCTGTTAACCACCAATGTAAGAAACATTCTTCCCATTGACATAAGGAGAATTTTCTCCCATTGGCCTCCAATGGTTGCCTCAGTTGGGACTAATTGTGTCTTGTCTATGGTGGGCATGGTATTGACACAGCCCCAGATGATCCACGTTGGCTCACAACTGATATGATCCAGAAATATTTAGAATAAAGGTGAATAAAGCATCTGAACCAGATGGCATACACCCATTGGCCCTTAAAGAATTGAGCTCTGTCATTTCAAAGCCATTGTTTCTAGTTTTTAGGGACTCTTTAATAACTAGCATAGTACCACTGGATTGGCGTAAGGCCAATGTGGTGCCTATATTTAAAAAGGGGTCAAAATCTTTACCAAGTAATTATAGACCTGTTAGTTTAACTTCTATAGTTGGGAAGATACTGGAGAGTTTAATAAAAGACCACAGAGAGGAGTTCTTGCTGGAAAAAAATATTTTAAGCAACAGACAGCATGGATTCATGAAAGACAGAAGTTGTCAAACAACTCTAAAGAGGTGAGCAAAACCTTAGACAGAGTGGTGGCTATGGACATGGTATACTTGGACAGAGGGGTGGTGGTGGACGTGGTATATTGGACAGAGGGGTGGTGGTGGACGTGGTATATTGGACAGAGGGGTGGTGGTGGACGTGGTATACTTGGACAGAGGGGTGGCGGTGGGACGTGGTATACTTGGATTTTGCAAAAGCGTTTGACACAGTTCCCCACACACGGCTAATGTGTAAGGTAAAGTCTACAGGCTTAGAAAAATCCGTATGTAAATGGATAGAAAACTGTCTAAAAGATGGTATTCAGAGAGTAGTGGTTAATGATTCATACTCTGAATGGTCTAGGGTTGTTAGTGGTGTACCCCAAGGTTCAGTGTTGGGTCCCTTACTTTTTAATATATTCATAAATGATACAGGGTCTGGGATTAAAAATACCCTTTCAGCCTTTGCAGATGACACCAAGCTGTGTAGTGGAAAAACATCTTTACAGGATGTCTCCAACTTACAAGCCGACCTCAATGCTCTGTGTAATTGGGGGACTATGTGGAAAATGAGGTTTAATGTTGATAATCAATGGTGGAGAAGGATCTGTGAGTTCTGGTAGATCACAAGCTTAATAATGGCAGCAATGCCAAGCTGCGGTTTCTAAAACGAGCAAAATCCTCTCTTGTATTAGAGAGGTATAGACTCCAGAGAGAGAGAGACAATTTCCCCCGATACAAATCATTAGTGAGACCTCATCTGGAATATGCAGTTCTGTTTTGGGCACCAATTCACAAAAAGAACATTGGGGAACTGGAGAAAGTACAGAGAAGGGCAACCAAACTGATAAGAGGCATGGAGGAGATCAGCTATGAGGAAAGATTAGAGGAACTGAATTTATAATGTATAATACATAAGGGGGGATATGAACTCCATGTATAATACATAAGGGGGGGGATATGATCTCCATGTATAATACATAAGGGGGGGATATGATCTCCATGTATAATACATAAGGGGGGATATGATCTCCATGTATAATACATAACGGGGGATATGATCTCCATGTATAATACATAAGGGGGGATATGATCTCCATGTATAAATACATCAGTGGTCCATATAGTGAACTCGGTGTAGAGTCATTCACCCTGAGGTCATCACAGAGGACAAGGGGGCGCTCTTTACGTCTGGAGGAAAAGAGATTTAATCTCCAAATACAGAAAGGTTTCTTCACAGTGAGAGCTGTGAAAATGTGGAATAGATTCCCTCAATTGTTGTTTCTGGCCAGCTCAGTGAAATGCTTTAAAAAAGTCCTGGATTCTTTCTTGGATACACAGAATATAACTGGATATAACATTTATAGGTAAAGTTGATCCAGGGAATATCGGATTGCCTCTCGTTAGATCAGGAAGGACTTTTTCCCCTGCAGGAACAAATTGGATCGTGCTTTGCTGGGTTTTTTTACTTCCTCTGGATCAACTGTGGGTGTAGGATTATAACTTTTTTTTTTTTTGGTTGAACTGGATGGATTTTTATCTTTTTTCAGCCAACATGTAACTATGTAAGTTGTCTCAACTTAATGTTTATTCTAATACACATGAGCTTTTGATATATGTTTAACTATTAGCAGGGGTTCCCTAAGACATGACATTTATTTTAAAGGCTCCTTCATGGTAAAAAGGTTGATAAAAGTTGATCTATTTGTGAATCTACAATAAATGAGAATATTTCCAGTTCTTCTGCTATAAGGTACTAAAACTGCTCAGGTAACACAACCCCTTTTCATCTAATCTTTCAGAATGCCTTGAAACATAACATGTACAAATATTCCTGGATCATGGCCCCTTTTCCAGTCTGCCCTACTCTCCAGTAACATAAAAGTCAAAATAGTCATCTCCCCTACAAATCCAATGACCTTGGGCCCTTCTAATAACCTGAACATCTTGAGAAAGTGCTCTGATCGCATGGGAAATGGTCATTGGCTGGATGAAACAAATATATAAAAAGGACCTCCTGCGCTCAGAACCTAATATAAAGGCTGCTAACACCTGCACCTTATTACCTAAAAGTGAAAAAAGCAAAAAATACAAAAAATAGGTGTAGCGCTCTCTAACAAAACAGTGACTAGAATCCCCAATAGGGAATAATAATGTGACAAATAGTGGAAAAAAACAACCAGCTAAAAGTGATCCAATAATGGATAAATAACACAAGTGAATAACCACAATGCAATGTATTGATGTGTAGTGAAAACTCACCTGTGATCCCAGCACTGGGAGATAAATCCTGCACAAAAGGTGACAAACAAGTGCTCCGTGTCCAAACACTCAAATCAAATAACAAATTTATAAATACATATCTAAACCCCTAAAATATAATTGATCCAATGATATACAAAATGGTGAAAACATTTTTTTTATATATATATAAAATCTCCTGAAAAATTATATGAATCACCTGCATGTTTTTTACATATTTTTGTGGACACTGGTGTCACATATTGTCAGATTGGATTCATATAATTTTTCAGGAGATTTTATATATATATTATTATTATTATTATACAGTATTTATAAAGCGCCAATGGTTCGCTCAGCTCTGTACATTACAAAGGGGGACAGAACATGTGACAGAACAATACCAATACAATGCAAAACATGAGGGGATCGAGGGCCCTGCTCTTTGGAGCTTACAATCTAGGAGGGAGGGGATGGTGGCACAGGAGGAGATAGCTGTGGGGGATGGAGTGGTAGGAAGAGTGGAGGAGGTCGGCAGGTTAGCAGGGGGTGGGGTAGGCTTCCCTGAAGAGGTGGGTTTTCAGGGTGCGCCTAAAGGAGAGGAGAGTAGGTGATAATCTGATGGGTTGGGGCAGGGAGTTCCAGAGGATGGGTGACACCCTGGAGAAGTCCTGGAGGCGGGCATGGGAGGAGGAGACCAGGGAACTAGAGAGAAGGAGGTCTTGTGAGGAGCGGAGTGTGCGTGTTGGGTGGTACTTGGATATTAGGTCACTGATGTAGTTCGGGGCAGTATGGTGGACAGCTTTGTACGTCACCATTTTGTGTATCATTGGATCAATTATATATTAGGGGTTTATATATTTATTTATATATTTGTTATTTGATTTGAGTGTTTGGACACGGAGCACTTGTTTGTCATCTTTTGTGCAGGATTTATCTCCCAGTGCTGGGATCACAGGTGTGTTTTTACTACATACCAATACATTGCATTGTGGTTATTCACTTGTGTTATTTATCCATTATTGGATCACTTTTAGCTGGTTGTTTTTTCCACCATTTGTCACATTATTATTCCCTATCGGGGATTCTAGTCACTGTTTTGTTAGAGAGCGCTACACCTATTTTTTGTATCATTGGCTGGATGAGCTTTTTTGTATCATTGGCTGGATGAGCTTTTATAGGTTTTTAGACTTTTTCCAACTGCAAATAAAGAGACAGTATGATGTGAATGCTCATGGACTTTATCTTACCTTTTATCTCTGAGTGCGTATTGGGATTTACACTAAGGCAATTAAAAAATGAATAGAATCCCCTGGGGTGGTTTCTTAACTGCAGCAGCATTGATCTACAATCTCTTCCATATGCTATGAGCGCCACACATTCTTTCTAATTTAATTCCACCGGTGTTCATCACATGAGCCAATACGAAGGTAGGGGTCATGCAGTCCCTGTTACAGAGGAGCCTCAGAATTTCGGAACAGCTGCTGATTGGCTGCCTGAATATCCCCCCTCCTAAAACCGTCCATTTGGTCATGTGATTGGCACTAGAGGTAGTCATACTCACAAGGTTTCTATAGGGAAGATGCGTATTTCAGTACTTCTTTCACTGATTACTTATTTAAGAGCGATAGTCAAGGTACTTGAGTACATTGTTGATCTGCTTTAACTATGCTTTACTAATCCATTCTAGATTTACCCCCCCATTGTAAGTTGAGGCAATGACGAAAGAAGTCAAATCATCTACGAAGCCATATACAACATAGCAAAACAGAAGTACACTTCAACCGGCGCAATTAATCATCGCCAACGTGCACATCATGAAGCTCGCACAATAAAAAGAAGACATAATGAATAAATTAAATGATTTCAAAGGGCGACGGAAGAGCAAACAGAATTAATATGAGATAAAACTGGGATTCAGAGAGTAAAGAAAATGAATTAAATGTCACATTTGATATACTGAACAAAAAAACAGAGATTATGGAAGTCATTTCTCTGCATCTAGAAATGAGCTCCGTGCCTCAGATTCTTAGGAAAAAGGAATCGATTTTATGCAAATCCTTCAAGGTTTATCAAAAGTCAATGTTTAGTGTATATAGTTCTACTGCAAGGAGTTCATTATGAGTATAATAATGTCATGATGTAAATAAGATTGTTAAGTGGGGATCCAAACCAATTTACAAAAGTTTGAAATGCTTGGCAGAAACTGAAACTTGCGTACATCAATTATGGTAGACTTGAACCCAATTGTGAAAGATTCTATGCAACCAGCAAATACACTCGCTCACCTCGGGTCATAATAAACCTCTCCATCCAAGAATGTGACAAAGCAGCCACAGTCATGGAAAACAGACACCCCCATCCTTGCATATACCTTCTAATGTTTTGTTGAATGCTTCAGGACCCCCCAAAAAATAATCTTACCCCTGAATATACCTTACATTGTTTTATTGAGTGTTCCAGGACCCCCATGACATGAAAAACATGCACCCTCATGTTCTTGAATATACTTTCCAATGTTTTATTGAGTGTTCCTGGAACCCCAAAAGTTAAAACAGACATCTCCATCCTTTCATATACCTTCCAATTTTTTCTTAAGTATTCCAGGACCCCCAAAAATGAAAAAAAACATCATCCCTGTACACTCACCAGCCACCTAATTAGGTACACGTTGCTAGTAAAAGGTTGGACCGCCTTTTGCCTTCAGAACTGCCTTAATTCTTCATGGCATAGATTCAACGGGAGAACGGTACTTGCATGACTGCATTGTGCCAAGTGTAAAGTTTGGTGGAGGGGGGATTATGGTGTGGGGTTGTTTTTCAGGGGTTGGGCTTGGCCCCCTAGTTCCAGTGAAGGGAATTCTTAAGGTGTCAGCATACCAAGACATTTTGGACAATTTCATGCTCCCAACTTTGTGGGAAGAGTTTGGGGATGGCCCCTTCCTGTTCCAACATGACTGCCCACCAGTGCACAAAGCAAGGTCCATAAAGACATGGAGGAGCCAGTTTGGGGTGGAGGAACTTGACTGGCCTGCACAGAGTCCTGACCTCAACCCCATAGAACACCTTTGGGATGAATTAGAGCGAAGACTGCGAGCCAGGCCTCCTCCCCTGACATCAGTGCCTGACCTGACAAATGTGCTTCTGGAAGAATGGTCCAACCTTCCCATAGACACCCTCCTAAACCTTGTGGACGGCCTTCCCAGAAGAGTTGAAGCTGTTATAGCTGCAAAGGGCGGGGCCAACTCGATATTGAACACTACGAACTAAGACTGGGGGGCCATTAAAGTTCATCTGCGTGTAAAGGTTCAATACTTTTGGCAATATAGTGTATGTGAACCGGCCCTTAAAAATGGTTTATTTCTGTTTGTGCTGCTGTTGTAGATTTCCCTCCACTTCCTCTCTGCTGAACCCCCTGTCTTCAGGGCAAGGCAGGAGAGTTAACCTCTCTATTGGAGTCCCAGCTACCAGTAAAACATGACAGGGGTTGTAGTCATCTCCCACTCTATCCAAAACTAAAGAAAAGAATTGCACACTTAGGAATCATTCAAAAGGCATACTGGAACATACAATGGAAAACCCTGCTGTATTTTGGATTCTGGGAACCATAGGTGTTGCCTTTACATATGAATTCCTGGATACAGGGGGTACATGCCAGTATTTGCACAAACGCATGCACGCATATGAACGTACACCTTTGTAGACAGACTAGGGTGTACGTATGTTTACAATCAGAGCTGCATATGCCTTTGTACACCCGCATACAGTGGTGTCTTGTAATTCATATGTACAGGTTGCAGTGCGCAACACCTGTGGTTCTGGGGCGCCAAATTATTATTATTATTACACAGCATTTATATAGCACCAATAGTTTGCTCAGCGCTGTACACTACAATGGGAGACAATACACGAGACAGTACAGTAACAATACAATAAAATAAACGATGGGTTCGAGGGCCCTGCTCCTTGGAGCTTACAATCTAGGAGGGAGAGGAGAAGGGTACAGGAGGATTATGGTCAAATGGCTATACAGCTTATTACGCCGTGTGCATGAACCCTTTAACCACTTCCCAACCAGCCGTTGTATATAAACGGCCGGACGGTGGCAGTGCAGAGTCGGGTGGGGCGAGCAGCACCGCGATCCGGTGCCCGCTGTGTCCTCCGGACTCTGTACGAGGTTCCGATCATGTGATCACTGATTGGCCAATCAGTGATCACATGCAAAGTAGTAAGCAAGATGGCACTTGTGACATCATTGCTTACTACGTGTGAAATCTGTGAATGATCACAGAGGTCACATGGTACAAGGCTATTCACAACAGCCTTGTACCATGTGACAAGCTGTGACCAATCACAGCTCACTCAGTACTTCTCAATGAGTGCAAGAATGCAGACAGAGAGAAAGAGAAATTATTGCTTTTACATCTTATGGGTGTAAAAAGCAATCAGTGTAAAAAAAAAAAAAAAAAAAAAAATCTTCATCACCCCCCACAAGTAGTACAGTGTCACCATGGTGACACTGTACTGCTAGGGTGACAGTATGTAAAAAAAAAAAAAATATAATAATAATAATATTAAAAAAATATATATATATATAAAAAAAAATGTTTTTGGTTATAAACTAATTTGGATTTTTTTTTTTTACTAAAAAGATAACGGAATAAATTTTGGCAAAGATTTATGATGAAATATTATTTATTTGCAAAATTTTATTAAAAAAAACACTTTTTAAAAAAAATTTTGGACTTTTTCATTTACATAACAAAAAAAATAAAAATCCCAGTGGTTAATAAATACCACCAAAATAAAGCTTTATCTGTCTCAAAAAAAATGGTAAAAAATTCATTTGGGTACAGTGTTGCATGACCGCGCAATTGCCATTCAAAGTGTGATAGCGCTGAAAGCTGAAAATTGCCCTGGACAGGAAGGGGGGGAAAGTGTCCGGACTGGAAGTGGTTAAGAGAAACCAGAATGCTGACACTCATCAAGAAGAAACTAGAATTAACTGACTCACACCAGCGGCTGCTTAGTGATCAATACCTATTAAAAAGGAGTTCATACAAGACTGACAGATAGAAAAAGCAAAAAAGAAGACTCAGCATTGTCCATAATATATTCCAATGCATTATACTCTATACTCATAAATGGAAACATATCATAGTAACTGTATAATCACTTAATAACCAGTTCTAGAGTTTGTCTTTATTGCAGATAAGTGTAACAACCTCTATGTCCCTACTGAGGATAATACTCCTCTCTTTGTGTCCTAGTGACACCAGGACAAGAAATAAGAGGATGTAGGTGTCACCCCCCATCAGAGAGATGGAAAGGCAGAGTTACTAAACAAGTCCATCGTCTTTTGTTTCTTGTAGATAAATGCAAAAACCTCTATGTCCGCACTGGGGATAATACTCCTCTCTTCATGCCCCAGTGACACCACTACAAGAAATAAGCGGATCTAGGTGTCACCCCCATCCCCATCAGAGAGACAGAGAGACAGATTTACTAAACAAGTCCATCATCTTTTGTTTATTGTAGATACAAGCAGAAACCTCTATGTCCCCACCGGGGATAGTACTCCTCTCATGTCCCAGTGACACCAGGGCAAGAAATAAGCAGATGTAGGTGTCAGCCCCATCCCCATCAGAGAGATATAGAGACGGATTTACTAAACAAGTTGATCATTTTTTGTTTATTGTAGATACAAGCAGAAACCTCTATGTTGCTACTGGGGATAGTACTCCTCTCTTCATGTCCCAGTGACACCAGGGCAAGAAATAAGCAGATGTAGGTGTCGGCCCCATCCCCATCAGAGAGATAGAGAGATGGATTTACTAAACAAGTTGATCATCTTTTGTTTATTGTAGATATGAGCAGAAACCTCTGTGTTCCCACCGGGGATAATACTCCTCTCTTCATGTCCCAGTGACACCGGGACAAGAAATAAGCAGATGTAGGTGTCACCCCCCATCCCCATCAGAGAGATAGAGAGACGGACATTACTAAACAAGTCCATTGTCTTTTGTTTCTTGAAGATAAATGCAAAAACCTCTATGTCCCCATTGGGGATAGTACTCCTCTCTTCATGTCCCAGTGACACCAGGGCAAGAAATAAGCAGATGTAGGTGTCACCCCCCTTTTCCTATCAGAGATAGAGAGGTGGATTTACTAAACAAGTTGATCGTCTTCACTCAATAAATTCAGAAAATATTCACTTTAATTATCCAATTATGTGAAAAGCAAGTTCCTGTTTACTAATTTCATCAGGATATAATAAATGGGTATTCAAATTAAGGAGAAATTAGCTGTTTTTCATGATTAAATAATTAAAGCGAATTAAAACGAATATTTGCACAATTTAATCTCAACTCCTTTAGTCAATCAATTCAATTCCATCACTTCTTGTCCTTGTGATTCTGTGGTACCGGGACAGGAAGTGAGGGCAAGTCTCCCCACGGGGATTAAAGAGAGCAAATAAAACCTGGCAGAATATCTAACCCTTGCGCTGAAATTGAACTCCATGTAAGTACAAATTTATATTTTAAAGGACAATGAATATCCATCTCTCTTACCTTGTTTTGATCCACCCAGTGTATAAAAAATCCATTGGGATCCACTTTAAGGACGACAGGGTACACAAGAGTAGAATCCTGAAATACATAGAAAACAATCACAATAAATAAGCTATAACTTGTAACTATAGAGAACAAAATCAAGAATATATAATTATTAACCTCCCTAGCGGTCTGATTATGTCAGTATTTCTGTGCTCAAAGCGGTACTTTTTTTTATGCATGGAAATATGTATGTTTTTTTATTGTAGGCCTGTAATTCTTAGGAATAACTCACTGAAATCTGTCCGAACAAGAGTCTAGTAAACATCCCGGGGATGATAAAATTTGAAACACGAAATCATAAATTATAATTTAATAAATAATCATAAAAAATAATAATAAATTTAATTCAATAATATAATCAAACCAAAAACTCTGAAATGTGAAACAGAGCGCCAAGTTCGCACATCACTGAGCAAAGTCGCAGAATCGTTTTCAGTGTCTGATGAGGAATTTTCCCCCACGAATCATTATCACTCAATTCTGCAAGTGGTTCTGATTTACTATCGCTGTTCTCTAGCCGGTCTAAAACCGCTTTTGATGTAAAGGGACTCTTTTTGGACGCCATGGACTTTTCTAAGTTTCCAGGCAGAAAGAACAGTAAAAATGCAGGCAGGGCGCCGACAAAGCACTCGGGACAAAATGTATGTGAAATGCATTGAAACAGCAATGACAGCAAAAATGAAATTTTTTAAAAATTTCAAATTTCCCGCGTTCCGGCGCCCGTACGTCCCGACGTCACAGGGACCGGAACACAGAAGCCGGATGCCGGCATCGGCCGGAGGAGATGGCCGGGGACGCTGCAGGGGACACATCGTGGGAGCGAAGGACAAGGTAAGTGCTGCAGGGACCCCCGGAGAACGCCGCATGGTAAGCCCAAGTGTAGCTCGGGGTTACCGCTCTTGGTATTGAAATTTTACCCCGAGCTACACCCCACAATACCGCTAAGGAGGTTAATAAATAATCATAAAAAATATTAATATAATAATAATAAATTTAATTCAATAATATAATCAAATCAAAAACACTGAAATGTGAAATAGAGCGCCAAGTTCGCACATCGCTGAGCAAAGTCGCAGAATCGTTTTCAGTGTCTGATGAGGAATTTCCCCCACGAATCATTATCACTCAATTCTGCAAGTGGTTCTGATTTACTATCGCTGTTCTCTAGCCGGTCTAAAACCGCTTTTGTCCTAAAGGGACGCTTTTTGGACGCCATGGACGTTTCTCAGTTTCCAGGAAGAAAGAACGGGAAAAATGCAGGCAGGGCGCCGGACAAAGCACTCGGGACAAAATGTATGTGAAATGGTTTGATACAGGAATGTTATACTATGTGATTTTAGTGGATTTAGTGAATGTCACATTTAAAATTTTAAAATTTCCCGCCAGTTTCGCCCCCCGTACGTCCCGACGTCGCAGGGAATGGAACCCAGATGACAGATGCCGGCATCGGCCGGAGGACATTACAGGGGACACTGCAGGAGGGACATCGCGGGAGAGCAGGACAAGGTAAGTGAAGAAGAGATCCCGGAGCAACGCTGCAGTGTATTCCCGAGTGTAGCTCGGGGGGGTTACCGCTTGTGGTGCTGAAACTTTACCCCGAGCTACACTCGGGAATACTTCCAGAGCAGGGGCGGACTGACCATTTGGAAACTCGGGCACTGCCCGAGGGCCCGGGGTCAGTAGGGGGCCCCATGAGATGCCCCTGGTACCTTTTTCATAGGCTTTTTTGAGTTTGGGCAAGGACACAGGGGCCCCATGATCACCTATTGCCCGGGGGCCCCATGAGTTGTCAGTCCACCCCTGCTCCAGGGAGGTTAAAAATTCTGAGAAAATTCAACTATCACATGGACAGTTTGACTTCAGCACCCTGTATACTGAATCATTCATTCATATTGTGGAATGCTGGACTCCTGGTGAGGCCGAGGATAGGTAGTCCGATTTCTGAACTTTTTCAAGGCAGTTCTCTGCCGACAGGGGTTCCCCACCAAAGAAGCATCTACGTGAATAAAAAAAAAGTTGTTTGATTTGTCACTACTAAATAAAATGGCGCTATAAGGCCGGCCATACATAGGTCGAAATTCGATGGATTTTTCGACCGAAAATCGGACCTAAGAATAATCGGCCAATTTTCACTCTGTTAGTGGATCAATGGAAACGACCGATTTTCGTGATTCCTCCCCTTTTCGGTTTCATGTTGGAGAATTTGTGAAGGTTTTCAACTCAGCTAAGCACACCCTCCTGCCTGCATGCCTGAGCTAAGGGCAGATGAATTCCAGGAAATAAATGCTACATGAATCATCTGCCCTTAGGTTGGCCATATATGAATCAAAATTTGACCGATTTTTTGTCCAAAAATCGGACCTAAGAATAATTGGCTGATTTTCGCTCTGTTAGTGGGTCAATGGCACCGGCCGATTTTTGTAGTTCTTCCCCTTTTTCGGTGATCGCCATGTTGGAAAATTAGTGAAAACGACCGATTTTCGACTCAATGATGGTCAAATCGTACGATCGTTTTTCTAAAAAGAATAGGCGCATGAGTCGTGACCTGGAAGGAACAGATGTTTTGCCTGTTATATGGGGTGAACTTTATGACTTGGTCAGCCGATTTTCAAAATCATTGATGGCACCATCGGATTACTGAGCGAACAACGTTTTCGATTTTCGGATGAAAAATCGTTCGGAATTTGAACCGTGTATGGCCTGCATTAATCCATATTTAATGTAGCTATAAATAGGTGGATGTAACCACTAAATAAGCCGCAGTAAATGTCCCGAGTGTGCAAGAAGATACAATGTTAGGATACATTGTGACAATGGTTGCAATTAGAGATGAGCGAATCGAACCTGGCGAAGTGGAATTCGTTTCGAATATCAGGAAAAATTCGATTCGCATCGAATCCGAATTTTAGCAAACTTCGGGTGCACGAATCGAATTTTTCCCGATCAGCCGGCAAAAGTGTCACTGCAGAGAGCTCCGCTATTTCTGACAGTTCTGACAGTTCATTTACAGCGGTTGAAACATTGTATCTATTTGTTTCCATTTAGGATACAGATGTTTTTATTCGGAAATAAATAGATACAATGTTTCAACCGCTGTAAATGTGAAGGAACTGTCAGAGAACTGTCAGAAATAGCGGAGCTCTCTGCAGATACACTTTTTGCTGCACTGGAATACTTCTTCTTTTCATTCTTCTTCTTTTCATTCTTCTTCTTCTTCTTCTTTTCATTCTTCTTTTCATTCTTCTTTTCATTCTTCTTCTTCTTCTTTTCATTCTTCTTTTCATTCCTCTTCTTCTTTTCATTCTTCTTCTTCTTCTTTTCATTCTTCTTCTTCTTCTTTTCATTCTTCTTTTCATTCTACTTCTTCTTCTTTTCATTCTTCTTCTTCTTCTTTTCATTCTTCTTCTTCTTTTCATTCTTCTTCTTCTTCTTTTCATTCTTCTTTTCATTCTTCTTCTTCTTCTTTTCATTCTTCTTCTTCTTCTTTTCATTCTTCTTTTCATTCTTCTTCTTTTCATTCTTCTTCTTCTTCTTTTCATTCTTCTTCTTCTTCATTTTCATTCTTCTTTTCATTCTTCTTCTTCTTCTTTTCATTCTTCTTCTTCTTTTCATTCTTCTTTTCATTCTTCTCATTCTTCTTTTCATTCTTCTTTTCATTCTTCTTCTCATTCTTCTTTTCATTCTTCTTCTTCTTTTCATTCTTCTTCTTCTTTTCATTCTTCTTTTCATTCTTCTTCTCATTCTTCTTTTCATTCTTCTTCTTCTTCTTCTTTTCATTCTTCTTCTTCTTTTCATTCTTCTTCTTCTTTTCATTATTCTTTTCATTCTTCTTCTTCTTTTCATTCTTCTTCTTCTTCTTTTCATTCTTCTTCTTCTTCTTTTCATTCTTCCTCTTCTTCTTTTCATTCTTCTTCTTCTTCTTTTCATTCTTCTTTTCATTCTTCTCATTCTTCTTTTCATTCTTCTTCTCATTCTTCTTTTCATTCTTCTTCTTCTTTTCATTCTTCTTCTTCTTCTTTTCATTCTTATTTTCATTCTTCTTCTTCTTCTTCTTCTTTTCATTCTTCTTCTCCTTCTTTTCATTCTTCTTTTCATTCTTCTTCTTTTCATTCTTCTTCTTCTTCTTTTCATTCTTCTTTTCATTCTTCTTCTTCTTCTTTTCATTCTTCTTTTCATTCTTCTTCTTCTTCTTTTCATTCTTCTTCTTCTTCTTCTTCTTCGTCGTGCCCCGTGACTGCCCAAATGAGTGAAGTGTGCGGTGATTCTAAGATCGACGGCACTCATCTGCATGTCATACTGACTGACAGTATTATTTCTCTTCCCCAGCAGACTCCAAGGGCATTTAAATTAAAGGTACAGTGTTCTGCACTAATATAAAGGCTCTCTGAAGCCTAGAAACCCTTTTAATAAGTTAAATTCGCGGCAAATAAATTTGCATCGAATCGAATTTCTCCCGCAAATTCGGCGAATCAGCCGAATCGAATTTTTGAATAATTCGCTCATCTCTAGTTGCAATATTTGTTTTGCAGCCCAGAGGAAGGGGAATAACTTTGAATCCCCTAAATGAGTTGACTTTTTTGTATTTTTCTGCTGAACTAACTCCAACAATAAAAGTTTTTGGACTCTCAGCTCACTGGACCTTACATTGGTCATCATTATAAATATTCCCTTGTGTTGATGAACCACAGAAAAGTGCGCCTCGTACATTTGTGATCAGTGGAAATTCCTTCCTTACAATGGTGATCAATGGAAATTTACTTTCTCACATTGGTGATCAGTGGAAAATTTCACCTTAGATTGATGATCAATGGAAAATTCACCTTACAGTGGTGATCAGTGGAAAATTGCACCTTAGATTGATGATCAATGGAAAATTGCACCTTACAGTGGTGATCAGTGGAAAATTTCACCTTAGATTGATGATCAATGGAAAATTGCACCTTACAGTGGTGATCAGTGGAAAATTGCACCTTACAGTGGTGATCAGTGGAAAATTGCACCTTAGATTGATGATCAATGGAAAATTGCACCTTACAGTGGTGATCAGTGGAAAATTGCACCTTAGATTGATGATCAATGGAAAATTTCACCTTACAGTGGTGATCAGTTGAAAATTGCACCTTACAGTGGTGATCAGTGGAAAATTGCACCTTAGATTGATGATCAATGGAAAATTGCACCTTACAGTGGTGATCAGTGGAAAATTGCACCTTAGATTGATGATCAATGGAAAATTTCACCTTACAGTGGTGATCAGTTGAAAATTGCACCTTACAGTGGTGATCAGTGGAAAATTGCACCTTAGATTGATGATCAATGGAAAATTGCACCTTACAGTGGTGATCAGTGGAAAATTGCACCTTAGATTGATGATCAATGGAAAACTGCACCTTACAGTGGTGATCAATGGAAAATTGCTTTCTCACATTGGTGATCAGTGGAAAATTGCACCTTAGATTAATGATCAATGTAAAATTGCACCTTACAGTGGTGATCAATGGAAAATTGCACCTTGCAGTGGTGATCAGTGGAAAATTGCACCTTACATTGGTGATAAGTGGAAAATTCCTTCCTTAAAATAGTGATCGATGGAAAATTGCACCTTACAGCAGTGATCAGTGTAAAATTGATTTCTTACAGTGGTGATCAATGGAAAATTGCATCTTACACTGGTGATCAATGGAAAATTACTTCCTTACATTGTTGATCAATGGAAAATTGCTTCCTTACACTGGTAATGAATGGAAAATTGCATCTTACATTGGTGATCAATGATAAATTGCTTCCTTACATTGGTGATCAATGGAAAATTGGTTCCTTACATTGGTGATCAATGGAAAATTGGTTACTTACACTGATGATCAATGGAAAATTGCTTCTTTACATTGGTGATCAATGGAAAATTGCTTCCTTACATTGGTGATCAATGGAAAATTGCTTCCTTACACCAACAGATAATGGAAAATTGCTTTCTACACTGGTAATGAATGGAAAAATGCATCTTACACTGGTGATCAATGGAAAATTGCTTCCTTACATTGGTGATCTGGTAATGAATGAATGGAAAATTGTTTCCTTATACTGGTAATGAATGGAAAATTGTTTCCTTATACTGGTAATGAATGGATCAGTGGAAAATTGCACCTTACAGTGGTGATCAATGGAAAATTGCACCTTACATTGGTGATCAATGGAAAATTGCTTCCTCACATTGGGGATAAGTGGAAAACAGAACCATACATTGGTGATCAATGCAAAAATACTGCCTTACAGGGTAGGAAGGAGCTCAATCTTCCGCTGCTCATTGCTGAAAGAACCTTTTGGTGAATCATGGAACTGCAATTGACAAAGCCTGGTATATAATCTGAAACCAACTGCGACGTCCACCACATTGCAGGAAGCTCATAGCCTGGGCTCCTCTCCATCTTCTGCTCGGCGGCTCTGCTGTGAAGCTGCATTAAGTAAACGCGTCTTGCTGTTTCCACATGCAGCGGAGATACATCAATGCCAGACGGCCCCGGTCATGATTTACAGTACGATTAACCGGCTACGACGCAGATCTCATGTGATGACAGCCTGAATTTGATGCGGTTCAAAGTGATAGAATACTAGAAAAGTCTATTCGCAGGGAGGAAAGTGATTTATGTATTGAAGTGTGCCGTGCGTCCATCCCAGAGGAAGATTCAATTGTCCTGCAAAATAACTTCATTGTCATCTCCCTGTCCTCACACTTCATAAATACAAATGGCTGCTTATCTCTCCGCGCCGCGAAATGCGTTTTACCATTTTTGGCTTTCAAATATCATTCCACACAACCAAACCAAAGCACAGAGGGATTAAAGGCTTATTTTAGTTGAAATATGAAATGTAAATTTGACGGAATTTGGGGGAAGTCTGAATATCTATTATACAGATTTATTCCAAATTCCAGTAAGAAAGGGTATGAAATTCTACCCTATAGGATATAGGTGTCCAAACTACGGCCAAAGGGCCAAATATGGCCCTCTGCAAAATTTTATCCGGCCCTCTGATGTAAGAAAGAATTCTGATTCTTCTCACTTCCTGTTGTGACTGTAGGACAGGAAATGAAGGGAAATCTTCTCAATGGAGACATAGATGGCAAAAAAAAAAAGAAAGCTGACAGGGGTTATAACCCTCCATTACTCTACTTAACCCCTTGGTGCCGGCGCCTTCCGGCACTTTAACCATTTCCTGTCCGGCCGTATATAAAACGTATATAAACGTGTATATTATTATTATTATTATACAGTATTTATAAAGCGCAATAGTTCGCTCAGCGCTGTACATTACAAAGGGGGACAGAACATGTGACAGAACAATACCAATACAATGCAAAACATGAGGGGATCGAGGGCCCTGCTCTTTCGAGCTTACAATCTAGGAATATAAACAGCAGGACAGTCTCAGTGCAGGGTCGGGTGGCCATTTATAAACGGTCTCCCCGCACCCTGCTTGTGCGCGCTCCCTGGGAGCGCACAGCACCGCGATCCGGTGCCCACTGTGTCCTCCGGACACAGTGGAACACCGATCGTTGGACGGGACCTCTGTATAAGGTCCCGATCATGTGATCACTGATTGGCCAATCAGTGATCACATGCAGAGTAGTAAGCAAGATGTCACTTCTGACATCATTGCTTACTACGTGTGAAATCTGTGAATGATCACAGAGGTCACATGGTACAGGGCTATTCACAACAGCCTTGTACCATGTGACAAGCTGTGACAAATCACAGCTCACAGAGTATTTCTCAATTGCTGCAAGAATGCAGCCAGAGAAAAGGAGAAATGATTGCTTTTACAGCCTTTATGGGTGTAAAAGCAATCAGTGTGAAAAAAAAAAAAAAAAAAAATCTTCATCACCCCCTACAAGCAGTACAGTGTTACCATGGTGACACTGTACTGCTAGGGTAACAGTATGTAAAAAAAAAAATAATAATAAATAAAAATAATATTAAAAAATAAAAAAAAAATGTTTAAAAATTATAATTTTTGGTTACAAACTAATTTGGGTTTTTTTTTTTTTACTAAAAATATAACGGAATAAATTTTGGCCAAGATTTATGATGAAATACTATTTATATGCCAAATTTTATAAGAAAAACACTTTTTTGGACTTTTTCATTTATATAGCAAAAATAAAAATCCCAGTGATGAATAAATACCACCAAAATAAAGCTTTATCTGTCTAAAAAAAATGCTAAAAAAATGTCATATGGGTACAGTGTTGCATGACCCGCGCAATTGTCATTCAAAGTGTGATAGTGCTGAAAGCTGAAAATTGGCCTGGACAGGAAGGGGGTGAAAGTGTCCGGACAGGAAGTGGTTAAGGGTTTCAGAAGCCGGGAGGCGGGGGGGGGGGGGGGGGGGGTTTAGGGTCATGTGACCGCCGTGACACTTCGTCACGAGATCGAGACCTTTCCGTGAGTACCGGACATGTGTGCTGGGAGCGCAAATGTGCGCGGCCGCTCGGCGTCTAGGCCCAGATGCCGGGAGGCCGCACATTTGCGTTCAGCCTCCGCCAAGAGGTTAAAATGCAAAACAATTGCCCTTAGTTCTACTTTGCAACCAACACTGACTATTTGTAATTCTTATGCTGCCAGCTTTAGTAAATAGATAGGAAGGTATAATATATTTACTTGGTTTAACCATTTTATTTTTTACATTTCTTCAGTTGCTTCCTGGTTTCTGGCCTAGGCCAAAAGGGTGTCATACATCTCAGGAGTCTTCAGGAAGGGGAGGGGTTTTCTCAGCTAACCACACCCTCCTGCCTGCATGCCTGAGCTAAGGACAGATGAATTCCAGGAAATAAATGCTACATGAATCATCATCCCTTAGGCCGGCCATACATGGGTCGAAATTTGACCGATTTTTCATCCGAAAGTCGTACCTAAGAATAATCGGCCGATTCTCGCTCTGTTAGTGGGTCAATGGCACCTGTCGATTTTCGTAGCTCCTCCCCTTTTTGGTGATCGGGCATGGTGGAAAATTCGTGAAAAACTACAGATTTTCGTCTCAAACTGTACGATTGTTTTTTCCGAAAAAAATATGCTCATGAGCCTTGACCTGGAAGGAACAGAAGTTTCGCCTGTTATTTGGGGTGAACTTATGACTTGGTCGGCCGATTTTCGAAATCATTCATCAGTCTTCAGGAGGGGGAGGGTTTTTCTCAGCTAAGCACACCCTCCTGCCTGCATGCCTGAGCTAAGGACAGATGAATTCTAGAAAATAAATGCTACAGGAATCATCTGCCCTTAGGCCGGCCATACATGGGTCGAAATCGGACCTAAGAATAATCGGATAATTCTCGCTCTGTTAGTGGGTCAATGGCACCAGACGATTTTCATGGTTCCTCCTCTTTTTGGTGATCAGGCATGTTGGAAAATTTGTGAAAAACGACTAATTTTCGACTTAATGATGGTCAAACTGTACGATCGTTTTTCCGAAAAGAATATGCCCATGAGCCGTGACCTGGAAGGAACAGAAGTTTCGCCTGTTATATGGGGTGAACTTATGACTTGGTCGGACGATTTTTTTTAAATCATTGAATACTGAGCGAACGTTTTCGATTTTCAGACAAAAAATCATTCAGAATTTGAACCATGCATTACCCAAGATGGCAAACTGCCAGAAATACTGGGGGGGGGGGGGGGGTTCAAAGTGATTTCTCAGCTAAATAAAGCATGGAGACATGGATGGATTGGGGAGTTTTCTTTAACACCCCGGTCACACCGATCTGACTTTAAAATCGTGCGACTTCGAGTGAAATTTCAAAGGTGGATGGTATTCCAACGTGAGGTGTGACTTGCAAGACTCAGATGTCTATACAAATTGCACCTAAAGTAGCGCATGCACTAGAAATCTGTGCGGCTCCAACCAAGTCGAATCGCACCGATATGATCGCTGTAATTGTGGACGCATGGCCATGGCAAATCGCATGGCAAGTGGCACCCAATGTGACCGGGGTGTAAATATTAACCACATGCCGCCTAGCCACTGTAGAAATACGGCGGCAGGGCGGCACGGCTGGGCAAAACCACGTTTTAAAAACGTGTGTTTTCAAAACAGGTAGGGGGCGCGTGCGAGGTTCTCCGCCGCCCTGCCTGTCCCGCCGATCACGGCCGTGGATGTCAGTCGCCGGGTCACAGCCGGTCGTTACCAGCCGTGTCCCGCCGATTAGCGGCAATCACTGACAGAGAGCAGGGCTGCAGTAGCTCTGCTCTCTGTCAGTCCTGTCAGCTCCTGATATGCTGAGCCGGAGAGAAGAGTTTTTCTCTCCGGATCAGCGGTGTTCCCTGCAGTACACCCCCGCCCCCTAGTAAAACACTCCCCTCACACAGTTAACCCTTTCACTGAATAATAAACTTAACCCCTTCCTCCCCAGTGCCATTAGTACAGTGTCAGTGTTTTTTTTTTTGCACTGATCACTGTATTGGTGTCACTGGGGATGTCAGTGACCCCAAGTCAGTTCCCCCCCAGTGTCAGAATGTCCGCCGCAGTCCCGCCGTAAGTCGCTGATCGCCGCCATTATTAGTATAAAAAAAAAAAAACTAAAAATCCCAGTATCTTTCCCGCCATTTGTAAACGCTATACCTTTCACGTAAACCAATTCATTTACATGTATTGGGGTTTTTTTTTTTTTAGCAAAGACATGTCGCAGAATGCATTTTGGCCAAAATTTATGACTAAATATGATTTTTAATTTTTTTTTTACTAGACATGTTTTATAGCAAAAAGTCCAAAATATTGTTTTTTTTCCTCAAAATTGTCAGACTTTTTTTTATAGCGCAAAAAATCAAAAATGCACAGGTGATCAAATGCCACCGAAAGAAAGCTCAATTTGTGGGAAAAAAAGGATGTAAATTTCATTTATGTACTGTATTGCATGACCGCGCAATTGTCCGTTAAACTAGTGCAGCGCTGTATAGCAGAAAAATGGCGTAAATTGCAGTATCTATACCATAGTTTGTAGACGCTATAACCTCCACACAAAACAATCAATAGTATTCGATTTTTCGTTTTTTTTCCAACAATTTTGGGATTGTTGGGGAAAAAAAACATGGAGCAGAATACATTTTGGCCTAAATTTTATGACTAACTTTGAGTTTACTATATATTTTTTTAATAGCTGAAAGTAAAAAATATCGACGTTTTTTTTTTTTTTTTTTCAAAATTATTGGTGTTTTTTTTGTTTATAGCGTGAAAAATAAAAAGCGCACAGGTGATCAAATACCACCGAAAGAAAGCTCTGTTTGTGTGAAAAAAATTACGTAAATTTCGTTTGGGTGCAGCATTGCATGACCGCGCAATATCAGTTGAATTAGTGCAGCGCCGAGTAGCAAAAAGAGGCGTGGTCATTAAGGGGGGTAAATCCTCAGGAGGGCAAGTGGTTTTTGGTCAAAAATGAACTAAATAGCGTGTTTGGTTTGCGGTGCTCAGATGCAGTTTTAGTTTAGGATAGCTTCACATCATTGTGGGTCGGGAACGTAACTGCAGTGAAAATGTTGTACCTGTTTATCTACTACCATCTGTCCCCAATATCCATTCAAAGTGCAGACTTTATACAGGATCTCTCAGCTCAGAAAAGCAGGGGCGGGGAGTTGAAGTTTCATCAGAACTATGAGTGCTGATTGAGGGAACAGACACCCCCCCCCCTCCCCTCTACACAGTTCACAGGAACCGAGCTGAAGCTGTCAATCTGCTGTAGCTCCCTCCCTTGTCATCATTTTTCTCTTGGTGTCATGAAACAAGTCAGAAGTGATTCATGCTCAGGGGCGGACTGACCATTTGGAAACTCGGGCACTGCCCGAGGGCCCGGGGTCAGTAGGGGGCCCCATGAGATGCCCCTGGTACCTTTTTCATAGGCTTTTTTGAGTTTGGGTAAGGACACAGGGGCCCCATGATCCCCTATTGCCCGGGGGCCCCATGAGTTGTCAGTCCGCCCCTGTTCATGCTTATAGCAATGGAAGAGAGAAATGACATTTAGTGCTCTGGACTGAGACAAGTACACACTATAGAGGGGTATGCTTTGTTCATTTTTTATCTCTGAGGTTTACAACCACGTAAAAGAAAAAAAAAAAAGGAAACAGTTTGATAGAGCAATAGATCGCATCGCCCCTACACAGTCATACTTCTGTCTTCATTAAAATGTTACAAAGCCTCCATTCGCTCCTCTTTGTTGGCCAGCACAGAGCACCATGGAAATGCCTGTATTCACATACGAGAGATTGGCTCGCCATGAAACGGTTGTCAGCCATTCAAACTGGCTGCGACTTCTCTTCCCAACATAGGAGAATTCTTTTCAAAATCTTAAAATAGTGAAAGTCTGCTCCCTTTTATGTGTTGGACAAAAAAAAAGGAAGTTTTCTAATTGGCTGCCAAAATTCTCGAAGACAAATCTGGGCCAATATAGGCAGACAAATCGGATTGTGCTTGTCATTTTTCGATGCAAATTAGGAGATGAAAGGTAACATCTGAATGGCTGCCATGAGCATCACCGGCTGTTTTCCTGTCTCTCCTTTTATACAAGGGTCTTCAAACAGTTTCCACAGTATATACATATATAGTGCCTTTTTTCAGTGGGAACGCAGGAAAACGCAGTTCCAGGACCTCCATCACTGAATGTATGTAATGATGCAAGGGGTGTGGTGTGTGATGGAGGGTCTATTGATGCTGGGGGATTATTGCAACTGGCGGGTATGTTTTTGCATGAGGGTCTATCGTTGCTGGGGGGGTCTTATGTTGGTG